CTCCCTCTCTCTCCCCCTCTCTCCCCCCTTCTCATTTATCTTTTTTTCTTCCCTTTTTTCCTCTTTTTCTTTTTTCCTCTTTTTTTATTCTTTTTCGAGATTCGATCAAATATTTTCAGACTTTTTTCCGAAAAAATTCATGTATACGCATATGTACGCGACATCAGACAAAAGGACGCAAAGGTCGTATGGACCATGCCTGGTACTGGTGTAATTAAAATAGTATGATATATTTGAAAGTGGCTAATCTTTTTTCGTTTTATTTTTTTTTTTAATTCTTTTTTATTCCACGAGTTTTATTTTTTCCTCATATTTTTTTTTCTTTCTTTTTCCTTCATATATTGTTCTTACCGCGTTTCTTTCTTTTTTTCTACTTGTCCTTCTCTTTTAATTCTTCTCTTTTAATTTTCGCTTTATACACATCTCTTCATTTTCTTTTTATATATATTTTTGTTAATTTTCATTTTTTAATTTCCCTTTTTAAATAGACGATTACGTACACTGCCTCTTTTATAAATCGGGGCGAAGAACAGACTCGAGAGGCACGCGGCAACAAGTACACTGAATAACACGTTTAATAACTCTGACGATTTTTTTATTTCTTGTACTTATTATTCATGTAACTATGTGTGTATATACATACGTATATGTGCACGTATGTATGTACGCATATATATATATACTATTTATTTCATTAATTTATTTTTTTTCTCCCTTTTAATATTCTTTCTCCTGCTATCATCATTTTTTTTTCTTTCGATCGAATTTTTTTCCAGTCGCGGATAAAAGTGTTCCGCTATTGTGTTGCGCACATACATATGAAGATTCGCTTATATAATTGTGTTTTATTCATTTTTTTCTTTTTCTTTTCTTTTTTTTTTTTTTTCATCTAAAACTTTTCTGCATCTGTCTCACTAATACATGTGCAGCTGATCGGCGAATTTTCGCGCACGGTTACACGATTCCCGTGGCTAGAGTAAATTATAATTCGGAGGTCAGTCGTCTAACGCTATCGAGCTATCGAGATTCGGTCATGGTGCCATAAAGACGCGCGTTAAATTATTTTATATCTGTATATACATCATACAAATACGTTAGAATCTAGGAGTTCTGATTAAAAGATCCAAAGAAGATCCAATACGTCACAATCATTATAATCGTTTTAACTTTCACAAACATTTACATTTTATGGCACATTTCTCTTTTTCTTTTTCTTTCTTTCTTCTTTTGTCTTTTTTTTTGATTTATAAATTCCACCGATATTTTTTTATTTCGATATTAATTCAACCAAAATTTTATATCTCACATATCAATTTTGATAATTGCAATCCAATGGAGATCCATCATTTTAAAATACAAGTAGAATAGACGCCATTATGTGCGTATGAGATTTACGTTAAATCTTTTAAACGAAGTTATTTTTGGCTATAAATAGTCGACATCACTAAATAGTTTTGTTTACTATTGGGATCATACGATTAATCGATCGATCGAAGAATCAAACTGATCTATACATTGTATTATGTACCTTGCTAACGATTGTCTTGCTTATTTAATGATTAACAAGTGAATTAAACGATCATTTCATATTTTTTAATTAACAGCTGTCTGGATTAACAGATTCAACGATTTACACATAGATACTATTACTATTATAGTACTTAGTAATAGTATGCTTATGATTATCAAACGATCGAAAATGATACATAACAGGCAAGGCAGCTGTTAATTGTTCATCGTTGGAACAAAAATAAGATCAATTCTTAATCGATCAATCATTCGGTTCAGTCGAATTATAATTATCTTTTCTTTTTTTTCTCATTTTTGGAAAACAATATGGCGCTCGTTAACATGATAGCACTTATGAAACTTCAGACAGCGAAGATGAATCGTCAATTGTTTTTAATCGCTCGAAGCGCGGGCACCATAACCGCACGAAGGTTCGTCAACGTTCATCAACGTTAGAAGGCATAGAATTGTGTTTATTTTGTTATATTTCTTCTTATTTCTTGTTTCTTATTCTTTTTCTATTTTTTTTTCTTCTTCGCTTATAATTTGTTGAATTTATCTCCGACAATCGTTAAATATTACCGCATGCGGTAGTATCAAAATAAACCACACCAAGTATATAGTATAGAATATTCATAAGTGTATGTATGTACAATAGAGTTTCTATATAATTTATATATTTATATATTTTCTATTATTATTCTTTTTCTCCTCATTTTTCACTCATACAGTTTCATACTTGTTCATGTTTTATGTTTTTTTCATTTTATTTTTATCAAAAAATCGCACACTACCTTTTCTTTTCTATTTTTGCTTCTCTATTTATTGTG